TATCATACCAGCCAAAATCTCACTTGCTTAAAAAGCGGACCTTTAGCTCGCGTGGGGGGGGGGGGGGGGGGGGGGGGGGGGGGGGGGGGGGGGGGTGTGTGCGAACGCACCCCCTGCACCCCCCCTAGCTACGGGCCTGTAACATTAGTAATCCAACAAAAGTTATTTAAATAAAGAAAGCCTGAATTTTGTTGTCATCCAGTAGTAACAGTCATTGGTTATTTCTGCAAGATGGCAAATGCATTGCTTGGGCTCCCTGTGCCTACCCATGATATCGCGGGCTCATAGTAAACAAAACTGTTCAAATATTCAAAAACTCCTCTGTTTTTGCTCTTGATTCTGTTATAAATTTTTACTTTTACCCAAAATATGACAACTAGAACAGTAGATTTTAACTCAACAGCCTATGCTAAGACAAAGAGCTTCATCGCAAAAGAAAATGTTGCATCCATAGCGAGAGCCAAAGAAAGTAGGAAACAAGTTTCTGTTCCACCTTCAGGGGTAAAAAGTTCGTGGACGCCTCAAAAACAAGAGTTGAATGAGAAGGTTTGGAAGCTTTGTTTCCCTTGTTCTTTCATGATTTGTGTTTTACAAGTATTTTATTATTTCTTAGTAAGGTGTTCTTGTTGTTTTATATCATAGTTGTTTGAAGAAAGGAAAGAATTGGTCGGTAACTGGGTGAGTTAAGCTTAAACATTTGTTAAAAGTACAACGTTATTCTTTTTACCCTATTATCAGTTGTTTTCTGTGTTGTTTTTGACACTTTTTCTTTAAAGTTATTATTTTAGCTATGTGAAAAAAGGATCGTAGAAAATACTAAAATTATAATTAATAAATCAAAAGATCTTTATTAGAAAAAAATACAATTTATTTGCAATATATATATCAGACAATACAGTTGCAGCTGTTTTGAGACAGCATTCATGGACTTCATGTTGTTAGAAATATGTCCCAGACAACTCAACTCATAACATATAGACTAATAGTATGTCTTTTATTGTAATGGCTTTCATCAATTGAATTTAGAGCCGTTCTTGTTCTTCCAATACTAAACTCTATAAAATGACAATTATCTTCCTCCTATTTTGCCTGGGTAACAGTATACAAATATTGTCTGGTCTTGAGAGAAATAGTTGACGGTGGTATTGTTTCCCCAAGAGTCTCGATATTCTTGATAGATTGTCCACAGGGGCGTAAGCGGGGATCTTGCAGGGAGGGTGCACAGGTAATGGAAATGGTTAAGAATAAGAAAGGTAGTATCTGATTTCTTTTGATTGACAGCCATCTAAAACCAAAATTCAGCATGCAGCTCACATTACTACCAAGTAATATCAAAAACTGTAGTAAGGATAAACTAACGTAATTTGAATTAATTTCATTCTACTTAGTACAAAGAACATGATTGTCCTTTAACACAGGCATTATCGAACCAGGACCCCCTGAATCCATTAATACTGGATCACATTTACTATTATGAGACTACTTAGTTTATATTTTAAAAATGTCATACTTTATTTATAATTTAAAAAGTATCAACTTATAATTTTTAATTATGTGTCAATAAGTAAATGTTTCTTTTTAGTTTGATAGATGGTCAGACCCTCAGAGAAGAACCGTCCTAGATATCTTGGTATCCAAGTGCAAGCAACCACAGTTACAATATATCTTCTCCTTACTTGATGCCCATATACCAGTAACCCATGTAGACTTCACAAGGAAGTTACCAAGGGTGATAACAGTCTATATATTTTCATATCTGGATCCTAGGAGCTTATGTCGGTGTGCTCAAGTTTGTTGGTATTGGAAGTATTTGTCTGAGTTGGATGAAATATGGATGCCAAAATGTCTGAAATTCAACTGGGTGTTGCCATTTGTTCCGAGTCCATTTGAGCATGGTGTTTGGAAACGCCATTACCTAGAGTCAGTCAAAGGGCTTCAGTATGTAAGACCAAAGGTATTCACTTGCTTATGTATCTTTTGCATTTTATGAATGACATTACTTTCAGTTGATGATGAAAGAAGTTTTGTCTATATGCATATTATGTGTAACACTCCAATACTCAAGAATGTTTCCATTAGGCATCTACCACATTCTTTGCAACTTATCAGTCAAAACACTACCTATGGACTGGGCCTTCTGAGTATTTGGCATTTGGCCATTGGCAGGTTGCTATTTCAAGCCCTGTATAGGTCGCAAAGCCTAATGGAAAGAAACTTGCAAGGAGTGCTGCTAAATGTACAGCAATTACAACTTTCCTGGCTCTTAATTTTTTTATGGATGAAATAGTCGTATATTAAATGATATTTATTTATTATATTTTTCCCAGTCGCCTCCATCTGTAACATTCCAAAGTATTAGTCGAGAAACTGAAAGGAAAAGCCAAAGCCTGACAAACCTAAGTAGTACAAAAAAAGCTATGAAAAAGGGAAGCAGTACAGACTTACCCCCTTGGAAAGGAACAGACAATAAACCTAATGAAATTATTAGAAAAGCATCAAGAGAAGGACCTTTAATAGGGTGCAGGTAAGAATGTGCAAGCTGTCTCTCATGGCTGTGAAGGTCATGCATGAATTGGATTCTCGTCTGAACAGCCACATTTGAGTTGAGGTGGTTTGATGTGCTGTTTCAGATACCGCAGAGCGTATTTCTGATTGGGGGGCCATAACAGCAGCCCAAGGCAGCCAGAGATCCTCAGAAATGTGATTTCCAGTAATTGAACATGGCAGCAAAATTATTTTCCTAGCTCCGCCATCCCTGTGTTTTCTTTCTAGCAATAAGGCATTTGTAACATGGGTTCTGTCTCTGATTCTGAACAAAAGCGATTAATCCCCAACCCTGTGCAGGGCCCTAGGCCTTCTAAATGTAATAGTATAATTATTGCAAAATTGATGAATGAATATTAAAAAGCAATTGTAATTAATTTTATAATTTTCAGACGATGCCACATGTCAACACACACAAATGACGATGAGCACAGCCACCCAGAAAACATTAAGAAGACAAGTACAATGCCTAAAACAAAACCAAGAATAAGACCTGCATTGGTATGATATAAAAATAGAACATTTTATTGTTTTCAAACCATGTGTCATTCTCTTGAGAATAAGATTGTCTGGATATATTAATATTATGTCGATAGTATTGTGTAATCTCATGCACAATTAAATAAAGAAATGATACTCATAGGCCGAACAACACATGGTCTGAAATGGAAAAACACTACAGTAAGCTCTCAACTAAAAAAGGTCAATATTAGAAAGGAATGGCAGGATTTCAACTGTAAACCCTTATCCTATCTCATGTGTTATGACATAATTATCATTTTCTAAATTTAAAGCATTGCTGTGCTTTTTAGTAGGTCTGGAGGGTCTGGGTTAAGGTGGCAATATAAATATAAAACAAGAGTAATATTTTACGACAGGTCAAAGTGCACATAAACCCTTTGACAATACATTCAGTACTGGTTCTGCATAAAGTAAATA